TACCCAACTTTTAAGGTTCATGTGACCTTCCAGGTCAGGTCAATGACCCAAAAGTCGGGAAAATCGGTGCCTGTTAGAACGTAGTAAAGGGTGGCTGCTATGGGATTTTTCGCGGTGGTGCGATCAGAATAGCATGCTAGTTATGATCATAGATGATGTCTTCATGCATTTAGGCCAGGTCGGGTCAGGTCAGGTCAGGTCAACCAGTAAGGCTTTTGCCAGGGGCGTAACCACGCTAAAAATAGTGCGGACAAACCTGTAGGGGGCGCCATTTCTCAAGGGGGCGCCATCGCCCAAGGGGGCACCATTGCCTACGGGAATGGGGTGAGTAAGAGGGGCGCCTTCATGTGAAAGAGGGGCGCCTATGAATCTTATAGGGGCGCCTCCATGCGATAAAAGGGGTGCCTTGGTAGCGAGAGAGCCGTTTGTGTAACGTTTCTCAGAGGTGGTGCGCCGTTTGCGGCAAATACATATATAGGTACTTAAAAGAGGACAGAGAGGGGGGCACCTTTGGCGCCCATAAACAATGGTGCGGACTTCCCGCACTGTCCGCTAAGGTGGCTACGCCCCTGGGTTTTGCCGGGTATTCGTAGTAGGTGGCAACCGCCTCTGGCAGCTTCGTAGCATGTCACGAAGGCACCAAAACTACTTCGTAAATGTTCAAATGGTTGCTAAATTCGAATTCAGCTCCAAACAACTAGCCTTGGAACATGTAAAACTCGAAAAAGTGAACCGAGATCATCAAAGGTCAATGACCTGACCTGACCTATCGGTGACCTTGACGCCAACCCTTATGCATGGAAGCAACATCATATTCCATATTTGAACGCTTGAAACCAAGAAAAGACTACAAACGCGCGGCTAATGCGAGCCGACATTCGCCGAATCGCGATCCCGGGCAAACATGGTCTCGAAAAGTAGGTCACAGGTCAAAGGTCATTGGGGTCCGGGTCATGAAATTCTCAGGGTAGGCGTGACATTGATAACCGCGAGGGTAATGAAAGTTTCGTCGCGATCGGCCGCTTTTTACACAAGTTATTTGCGAAAAACCGAGAGGGGGTCCGCTCACCACCCCCTTTACGGGCGTGGGTTAACCTTCCAGGCGGTGGGGGGGGGGGGCATTTTTTGCCCCCCCCTTTAGTTTTTTCAATATATCTCGAGAACCGCTGCGCCGATCGTCACCAAACTTTCAGTACCCTCCCGGGAGCAGCTAGCGCACATGGTGACCAAAATTTTTTTTCCAAAGGCTATGATAGGTTGGCCGCTAATGACGTCAGAGTGACGTCATTTTTGCCATTTTCGACCCAAAAAAGGTTTCGCGGGAAGAGCTGTCAGGCCTACAGCTTTAGAGATACAGAAGAATATGTTTCAAACATAAAAGGTGTGGAATCAAAAGGAATACAAAACTGATATTTCGGTTTTTTTCGAATTTTTTGGATTTTGACACCCAAAAATAAAAAATAGATTTTTTTTAATATAATAGGTAGCCAAAAAATCCAAAAAGTTTTTTGAATTTCGAAAAAAAAGAAATAAATAAGATAGTCCCTACCGCCTTCTATTTACATACCAAATTTGAGATCGATACCTTTTTTGGCTAAGTTATAGCGAAAAAAAAACTTCAAAAATGATGACGGCAAATTTTCAAACTCAATTTCTAGCAATTCTAGACCTCGTAGCGCAAAAAAAAAGACCACCATTAGACTCCCCGTGACGACCTGCATCGAATCGATACCCATTTTATGCAAAAATATCAATTTTGAAATTTGACCTTTTTGACCTGACCTTGAACTGACCTCCACCAGAAAGTGACCTAAAGCGTACCTGATGGTCTTATAACCAACACCATTGAGTTGGAAATGAAAAAACTGGCCATAAAACATGTATCGCATAACCTTAGTTAAGTTGGGCTCAATGTGGAGACCCTTGGTGACCTGACCTGTGACCTGACCTGGTATGACCTGGTAGACAACTGACGCCTTATCGCTGATTTTCGACAAAATGCGTTTTACTCGGCGTTATAGCGCTTTCCCTAGAAGCCCCGTGAACGGTGAAACATTTTATCTTTGACCTGACCTGTGACGTCATCGGTGACCCCGAGGTCAATGAAATTTGGTTTTCCATAGACAAATTTGACAGGGCTATCGAGCGCCGTTTGAATTTTCCGGATCCGTCCAGTAGTTTCGGAGATACGGGGGGGGGGCAAAAAAAATCCCCCCCCCCCCCCAACGCGCGGAAGGTAGCTGGGAGCGGTGCGAGCGAGTTTAGCGAGTGTCATTTGAGCGAATGTCATTTGAGCGAGCCATTTTCAGCGAATGGCAATTCAGCGATTATCAAGTTCAGCGATTATCAAACATAGCGATTATCAATTTTAGCGAAAGCTATGTTTCAGCGACATCTATTTCGTCGACTACAATTTGAGCGACTGCCAGTTCAGCGAAACACTTCATCGTCCTGTAACGTTCTTTTTTTGCGAGCGTATACGCGCGAATGTTTCCGGAATTTCTCATGGTTATCCGGAACTGGATGGCGAATGTCACGTCCAAAGACCTCAGACATTGAGCTCCAAATGTAATGCTACATTTCTAAACAATTCCAACGGTTCTATTTCACCCCCTGCTCTTTATAGAATTTAACAAATAGGATAGTTATATTAAGTTTTCTCCAGGCGGTACCTACTCATAGGCGGCGGAACGAAGGGGGGTACCGGGGCACCGTGCCCCCCCTTGATTTTGGCATTTTAACATTAGCCCTATGGGCGTTGCATGGAGAGAATGAGACCAAAAGTCGGCGGTGCCCCCCTTAATTGAAGGTGTTCCGCCGTTACTGAACGGTAGCCAATCCATTGTATTTAATTTTGTCTTTACCTCTGGTGTAGATACGTGAAGAATCATTGACCTTTTCCTCGAAAATGTAAAAACAATGCCAAAAGTTATATTGAATGCTATTTTGTATCGTGTCATTTTGTTGCTTTGACAAAGGCTTGTAGCCGAAAGCTCACCGCATTCAATATAACTTTTGGCATTGTTTTTACATTTTCGAGGAAAAGGTCAATGATTCTTCGCGTATCTATTCTCGCTATGTTCCTCGCTAAAGCACTTCACACCATTAATTTACCTCTGGTGGATTACAAACTGTTAGGTGTTATCATGACGTATGATATAAAACAAAAATTTAAAAACGAAACGTTGCAAGATCAATGATTAAACGTTTTTTGTTTTTTTTTTTGTCGCGCGCAGCTTGAAGCATGACACAAACCAAACGGGTATTCAAAGGGCAAGAATTTCCGAAAAGTAGAAATGATTGACTTTCGTCGCGTTCGGTTTCGCTGTAACTGTATTCGCTCAATTGGTCTCCCATTGACCACCAAATATTCGCTCAATCTGGTTTCGCTGATTCTGGTCCTCGCTTACGTTGATAATCGCTGTGATTGAATTCGCCGACTTGACAATCGCTGAAAAAGTCAATCGCTTAAATTGATAATCGCTGAAAATGTTTCGCTCAAATGTCGTTCGTTGAAATGACGCTCGCTCAGGTGTCGCAGAACCGGCTGGGAGGCCCACCGCCTGCCGGGTTAAAGCATGGCTCGGATTGCCTGCTTTTTTGTTTAAAAAAAAAAAATCATGATCTCAGGACTGTGACGAAAAACAAGTGGCCTAAATCCGGTGAGAAAACAGGATTTGGGGGGTACCCTAGGTTTGACTCCTTCAGTCTCTGCCCCCTCCCCCCCCCAGTGAAAATTCCTTAGGCGAGGCCCTGTGTTAAACGCAACGTGATTGTGACATATCTAGACGTTCCACATTGACGCTCACAAGAAAAAATACGCACCTCGGACACACCCTTTCAAACAACAGAATAAAGTCAGAAGCTACAAAATGCCGTCAATAGGAAGGTTCTGCAGTTCATGAGGATTGCACCAGACTCCGGCTGGGGCCGGGACAGTGCAGATAGAGCGTCCGGGCGCTGCCGCCGGGGCCGCCAAGGTGACCCCTGTCCGTCTGAACCAACAAACGCCGTTCCTGCGGCCCGATGCTGCGAGACGTCAGCACAGGTTTGATATCAAAGTAAGCACGGCCACAACTGTGCTCGTTTTGTTTGGTGGGCAAGCCCGTTCGGTTCCAGATCATTCAGGGGAGGGGGGATGGGGAGACATTGGGCTGGCGGACCACCGACGGTGCGTCGCAGTGGCGGGGACCACCCGGTGGGACGCCAGTGTCCCGGTGGGACAGACCACCCATGCCCACTCAAACGGCCAGTCCGGGGGCCGTACCCCTAGTGGAGGACCCGAAACGGCCGGGCATCTAGTGGCGTGGCCGTGCACACAAACAGTTTGAGTTGTGAACAAGAACGATGGACAGGTACTGACGATAGGGAGTGTGGGAATGAAGCAGAGATAACACCGTTGGAGTCTTTTCCATATTAAACGGTAAAACATGAGGTCAAGATTAACCCTCGCACTTATGGGGAGGAGGGGGGGGGGGTCAAACGGCGCAGTCACTAATGTGCATTCGGTGAATGCTGGTGTCTTGATTACGCCTTAACTTTCATTCAGATTAAAAAAGGTTTGCGAGTTTACAAAACCCATATTCCAATGCTCGTGCGTCGTGTTTTCGACTCTGATTCTGCTTATCTGTGCTACATAACTTTTGATTTAGTATAGTAATCGATTATCTTTTTGTGTTTCTTTCCGTTCGTTTTGTTGTATTCAAAGGTGTTGTCGATTCTACTTGATTTCGTGACCGAGGGCTATTGCGAGACGCTAGACAGTCTCGGTGCTTATAAACATAGAGATGTGGCCAGCTTTTCCTAGATCGACAACAGCGCCGACTGTACACAAAAACGGGCTAATGAATGTTGCTACCATGAGCAGCAATGCCACATCCCTGCAACAGAGTAGTCAGGAGCCAAGGTCAATGTTTGTCGCTGAGTCTGTCGGTCACGGGACCGGGCCGCGTCACCGGATGTGGCGCCTCTTACAGAGGCCAGCCGTACCGAGCTCTGCAGACGTCCTGCCAGCTCCGAGCCGTCAGTCCGAGGGCGGCAGCCGGGGACGGTGGATCACATACTGTCTCAGTGTCCGTGTCACCATGTCGGCCCTCAGCAGCCGGCTGGCGACGCTCCTGACTTTGGCCGTGCTCATCGTGACGGCCGGCTGTGACGGTGGCAGGTCAATCCCGCTGAGTGAAATCATACAGCAAGTGGTTCGTGAGTGCATCCAAGGGAAGGAATTCATACAGCAAGTGGTGCGTGATGAACTGCAGTCAGGAACGGAACCTCTGGAGAACAGGCTGGAGTCTAGGATGGAGACTCTGGAGCGCAGAATGGAGGAGCTGACCGGCCGACTGGACGGCCAGCAGACTCAGCTGGACGAGGTCGTCACACAGCTGAACGGCCAAAAATCCCAGCAGGACGAGACGACAGCCACTGTGAACGACCTCACAGAACGACTGAGTGCTATCGCCATCCGCATGGAAAAACACGTGACCGAAATGCGTAAATTGGCTACGAGGCTCGACAGCCAGCAATCAACAATGAATGAGCAAAAATCACAACAAGAGGAGACTGCAGCCACAGTGAATAACGTCACAGCGCAACTGGATACCATCGTTACACAGCAAGGAAATCAACTCAACCAGACGTCTCAACTGGCTACAAGGATCAACAGCCAGCAATCACAACTGAGCGAGCTCAACACCCAGCTGAACGAACAAAAAACGACTCAGCGTGAGGTTTCAGTCAGAATGGATAACCTGACCTCCCAGGTTGACATTCTAGGATCCAAGCTGACCGGAGCCATCAACAACACATCATCCCAACAGGAGCGTATTCATGACCTCGCTGCTAAGGTAAACCATCACCATCCTCCCCGTGACTGCAGCGGTCTGCCTGTCGGCTCCCCATCTGGAGTCTACCTCCTTCGGCCCAGTGGTAACAACACACAACCACCCGTCCAGGCTTACTGTGACATGGCCACTGCCGGAGGGAACTGGACGGTGATACAACGACGAGACAACATCGAGCCCCACCAGGACTTCTACCTCGGATGGACGGACTATAAGGTGGGCTTTGGTAATGTTACCAAAGAATTCTGGTGGGGCTTGGAACACGTTTATCAGCTTACGTCATCGGGCCGACAGTTCGAACTCCGTATTGATCTGGAAGCGTTTGACGGTAATAGATCATACGCTACATATCAACAGTTCCGTATCTCGTCTGAGGTGGATGGGTACAGACTGAGCTGTACCGACTACTCGGGAACTGCCGGCGATGGTCTGGAGAACAGCGTCAATCAGAAGTTCTCTACCCGTGACCGTGACCAGGACAGGTCTTACCTCCACTGTGCACAGCACTGTCAGGGGGCCTGGTGGTACGGACCGGGGTTGTGCGGGGTAATCAGCCTGAACGGACGGTACCGGGACGGCGGTAATGAGGACCACACTGGAATATGGTGGTACACGTGGAGGTACGCTGAGTCACTGAAGAAAACAGATATGAAGATCAGACCAACGTACTAATCTACACACCAAGGAGAACATCACAGTGGTGTGGATACCCTGGTGTCACGTGTACCGAGCCGGTGTCACAGTATTTACTCGAACACTAACACTGTAGTGTGGGTTAGAGTGTGAAGTTCTTAATCACGTGACGTTGTACGAGGGTGCAACTCGGCGCTTTTCTGCGAATGAGAAGTATGATGTGCGATTATCTATAGGACTCAATACACGTGTCCGTCGGTCTCTCTCTCTCTCTCTCTCTCTCTCTCTCTCTCTCTCTCTCTCTCTCTCTCTCTCTCTCTCTCTCTCTCTCTCTCTCTCTCTCTCTCTCTCTCTCTCTCTCTCTCCCTCCCTCCCTCCCTCCCCTTCCATACCTGTCTCTGTTGATCCTGCTCCAGTTGAGACATCTCTACCTCGGCCCTCTCGGCCATTTTCTGTCGCAGCTGCAGCTCCGTGTCGGCGTCCGCCTCCAGCGATTTCAGGTGGTAGTCGTTCTTTTCCAGAGTAGACACGTCGGCACGCAGCTGCCGCTCTGGGGGCGTCACGCAGAGGCAGGGGGCGATCAGCGACGAGCGGGGCATACTCTGTGTGACATGTTATGTTTGGGGCAAATAAGGCCGACAGGTACAGAAAAAAATGGACATAATACGCCGCAGGGACGCGGGTAGTGACGAGGACAGTAGGTGGAACTATGGTCATGAGTACCCAAATATAGGAACGTTCCCATTTTTGGGAACGGAGTTCCCAAATATGGGAACGGGCGTTCCCATTTATGAGAACGGAAGGTAATTTTTCGGCCGTTCGCCCACTAAAACTCATTAGTGCATCACGTCTCAAAAAAGTGCACGCTAATTTAAGTATCTACTAAGTCTCTATAAAATTATCTTTAATCTGACCGTTGAACAAGGAAATTGACCGTCGAATGATATTTTTAACCCTCGCCGGACCTATTGGTTTTCTACATACGCGCCGGCCGAGGGGGGGGGGGGCGGGTACGACCCCCCCCCCTCGCCGTTTCGCCCCTGGTGGAGCTAGCGCGTCGCGGAAAAAACGAGCGTGTGCGCCGTTACGAGACGCAGAGATTGGTACCCGATTTTAAGGTCCTAGGTCAACCGGTGACCTCTGAGGTCAGGTCAAGTGCCCCAGGGTACGGTTCAGTTTTTGGTGAATAACTTCGCAAAAAACGGCCGCAGAGCCGCGATTTTGGCAGCATCGTGTTCGCCTCGCTCAGGCGCGTCGAATGATATACTTTTTGTTCGGGTCAGGTCAACTTAGGGTGTTGACCTCAGGTCAAGGTCAGGTCAGCACCCCCAGGTCACGAAGTTGGTCGAAAGAGGTCATGTCGCATATCATTCGATCCGGCAGGTCTTCCTGAGTCCATTGGTGGCTTTCGCGACTCGCTAGCTCAATTTGATCGGGAGTTATTAACGAAAAACTAATATGACCTTGATGACGTCATAAATGACGTCACGGAAGGTCAACATTGCAAAAGTGACGCATCTAACCTCGCAAGGAGTGCATCAAATCACGATTCTGTGTGCTTGAGATAGTTGGAGATCGTTCCCGGCGCCAGAATAGCAGTTTGAATTTTTCCCCATTGACTTATAATGGTGAGGTCACGAAAATGACCTGACCTCATATGACCTTTAGGAAAAATCCGAGATATACAAGTTGTGAGACTCATAATGGATACTAGATCCTGCAAGTTTCATTTCCCTGTGACATCTCCTCTGGCAGTGAGGGCGTTGCGAAGTTGCGACATCTGAAGACCGTGCAGAGGTTCACTTATGACGTCATAGGTCAGTGACCTGACCTGACCAAAAAATGCGGTTGGTGTCAAAAGATGCGGTTTGGATCAAAGGTCAGGTATGCCAAGTTTCAGCTCTCTATCGCCAGCGTGTTCGGAGCTATCGCGAAAAAACCCTATGGGGGGGGGGCGGCACCCGCCCCCCCCTCGGCCGGCGAGGGTTAATGATTTTTTGAAATGACGGAATGGTGAAAACATGGGTTACACTACAGTTAACATGCAATTTTAACGAAAATGAAGCGTTTTTTGCATTTTGAGGTCAAGTATAATAATTTTCGCCTGGTTATGAAGTTTCATACTAGCGACACCAGATGCTGACATATGCAAGCGAACACGCGGACAGTCCTGAGGTAATATTGTTGACATTTGGTGTCGAGGCGGACGACCGCGTAGAACGTGCGTGATTTTACCGAACTACTGTTGTAAACTCAGTTTAAGTGGTCGAAAATTATTCAGCTGTATTTTATCAGCCCCGAAAGACAGGGGCGGATCTAGGATTTCGATAGGGTGGGGGCAGTCAAGCACAGGGGCGGCACATTTTCCGCCTACGGGGGGCGGCATTCATAGGGTCTGTGCCAGTCCAGCGGAAAAACGACCTTGACGGCCGTCACGAGACGCAGCGATTTGTATTCAAAATTAAGGTCTCAGGTCAACTGGTCACCTCTGAGGTCAGGTCAATTACCTTAAAGTGGGGTTTGGTTTTTGGCAAATAACTTCGCAAAAATTGGAGACAGAGCAAAAATTTAGGTAGAATCGTATTTCTCTCAGCCGCATCGAATAGTGTAGAAGCTCTTTGTTCGGAAAAGGTCACAATCAAGATTGACCCAAAGGTCATCAGGTCAAGCCCCCTCAGGACACGGCTCGGACTAGGTAGGTCAAGTTGCATATTAGCCGATTTGGAGGCTCATTTCAATCACAATGGTGCCTTTCCCGACTTAAACTCAATTTGGTCGAAAATTTATTAACGAAAAACGATGATGACCCAAAAGAATGACGTCCTCTGTGACGTCATAAAAATTAAAATGCCAAATTAAGGCCCGGAATTCTTTGAAGAGCGTATGAAAACACGTTTCTATGTGTCTTCGGGCGGATTCTCTAGCATGCCTATATGTTGCAAAAAGAGCAAGTTCAGTACCTATTTCCCCATAGGCCTATAATGGGGGAGGTCACGTGAATGACCTGACCCAGGATGAATTGCACGAAAATCTCAGATAAACAAAGTAGGTATGAGTACCAGGGAGCTTGTTACTTTCTGCAAGTGTCATCATCCTCAGACAATTTGCCTGGTGTTGGAGGCGTTGCGAAGTTGTGACGTTTTTTTTTTTGGACCGTGCAGAGGTTTACTTATAACCGTTAGAGGTTTATACATTGGTCAGTGGCCTGACCTAACCTGAAAATGAATCAGGTCTCATAAGGTCTGGTTTGGATGTGGGCTCAGGTAGGCCAGGATTCAGCTCTCTATCGAAAACGGCTCCGGAGCAGTCGCGAAAAAGAAACGTAAGGGGTGGAAGCCCCTCTCCCTCGGAAAGGGGGCAATCTGGCACTGGCTTCAGGGACGTCGCTACGACTTCAGAGGAAGCTACGTACATTTCAGAGGGTGGCACTGTGTCTCAGGGCCTTCATGGCTAAGGAATTTCGACTAGGGGGGCAAACCAGACAATGACACCACATAGCATACATACACCGTATATACCGCATGTAACATGCACAGGCAACGGTATACCAAATTCGCCCAAACATAAGTATACCTACCATGTTCTACCGAGCGGCTTAGAGGCCAGCGTAGGGCCCTCGAAGGCCTAGGACGAGGCCTCGGTGGCTAGCATGGGGCACTCAGAAGTCGCTTTGGGGACCCTAAAAGGCCAAACGTGGGGGGGGGGGCGTGTGGCGTTAAGAAGCAAGCACGCAAGCCTTTTAAGACCAACGGCGTAAATCCTTCTGAGGCTATATAGGGCCCTGTGAGGACAATTTGGGACTTCTTAGGCCAGTGTGGGCCTGAGACCCTCTTTCGTCGGTGTAGGGCCCTCTGTGGCAAGCGTTGGGAACTCTGAGGCCAGTGTGGGGACCTCTGTCTTCTGAAAACTGAGACTGGTGCTGGGCCCTCAGAAGCCAGCGCGGGGTCTTTCATAGACTGGCGCTGGGCCATCAGAGGCCACATCGAGGGCCTCGACAGCACAGCCAGAATTCAGCGCTTCTGCATGATTGGGCCTTTATAGAGGTCGGATTGAGACCCCGGATGGCGACATAGAGCCATCAGAGGCTAACTCAGAGGAACTCATAACCCGAGTTGCGCCCTCCTAAAGCTTAGGGTATCAGCCCTCAACCAGTGCACAGCCCTAGAAGATCGACATCGGCTCTTGAGGCTGACGTGGGGCTCTCGTGGACCATTTTGATCCCTCAAGGATCTAAGACCGGAGATAGGATCTACGGGGGCCGATTGGAGCCTCCGAAGCCTGTGTGGGGTCCTCAGAGGTCGACGACATGGAGCTCTTAGAGACCGACCTATGACCAGTGTGACCTCTCAGTGACCAGCATGGCCCCTACCGGTCTGTGCAGGAGCCTGTAGTGAGTGTAAAGGTCACCAGAAAGGTCACCGAAGTCATCAGAAGATTTGACAATAACTTTAAAAGAAGACATGGTAGAGTGATGAAAGCCGATGTATTTTGTAATACCTTCAGTTCAACAACACAGATCAGTCTATGTACATTGTACAGCATGACCTTTTTCGGTTAGAGCATGCAACTGAATTTAGGTCAAACTATAGATAATTTAACGCCTCTCGATAAGAGAGACACAATGGCGGTAAAAACTGTGCCTACCATACGTGGATTAAGTAGGTAGGTATGCATAAAAAATGGAACAAATGCTTCTGCGAGATCCGTCTATTTTGGCGGTTTTTGCTCTCTGTGGGCCAAATTGTTGAACTGAGCTCGAATCTAAGGACTACGCAGCGGGAGCTTCCAAGGCTCTATCAAATGCACTCTTCCGTGACGCTGTAACAATTACGGTTCACGAGCTATGCACCCGGATAAGAGGGGAAAAATGAGCGAAGTTGGCTAGATCCGCACCCGGGCTTGGGTATAGCAGGCTACCACTTACCGGCCACCCCTGCGGGAGCAATTGCCACCTCCCCCTTCCATGTTAGCCGAGGCCCTGCTGTGTCTTTAGAGGGCAGCAATATGACTCTAGAGATGATATGATGATATAAAACTCCAAGAGGGCGGCGCTGTGACTTCAAGGAGCTTCACTATGACTGCGAAAGGCGGCACTATGGCTTCAGAGGGCGGCTTTAGGAATTCAGAGGGATACCTACTAGTTACTACCACCTCAGGGAGTGACACTACTTTAGACTAGAGAGCGGCAATACTACTTCAAAATGCAAGCTATGACTTCAGAGGGCGGCGCTATGACTTCAGGGAGCTTCAAGAAGAATGCGAAGGGCGGCACTATGACCTCAGGGGGCGGCACTATGACTTCAGAGGGCGGTCAGAGGGCGGCACTACGCGTACAGAGGGCGGCACTACCATTTCTGAGGGAGGCATCACGAGTTCCGAGGGCGGCATCACGAATTCCGAGGGCGGCACTTCTACTCCAAAGAGCAGCAATGTGATTGTAAAGGGCGGTACTTCGTCTTAAGGGGCGGCACTCTGACTTCAGGGAGAGAAGTAACATACTCTGAGGGTTTAATATCAATTCAGAGTTGCTACTAGAGACTATTATGAAATGAACTTTGCTCATTTCCGTAAAATGCACTCGAACGCCTATCGAAAAAAGCCACCCTCCGCCGCCTTCGGCGGCGGAGGGTGGCATTTTTTCGATAGGCTAGGGGCATCGGCCCCCAGATGCCCCCCCCCTGGATCCGCGCCTGCCGAAAGACATATTTTATTTGGATGCTAGCTGTTTAGCGTTGTTTTATAAGGAGCGTCATGAGCGTGGTTTTTGTCTTCCGTGTTTCTAAGCATGATCGTTTTGGGGGAATTTCTCTTATATAGGTCGCTCTGTGTGGCTTATTTATAATTTCTATGCTGATTTCGATCATTCCTCGTGCCCATCCTACCAGGCCTTTTGCCACTTACACTCATTAAGAAAGGAAAAAACTAGATTTCATTGGGACTAGGTGTTATGAGGGTGTAACATATTCAGCGTTCCCATTTTTGGATACTTCCTTGTACTCGTCAACTATCGGTGATAAACAGACAGGTGCTTGACATGTCTCCACCCTCGGCACGGACGGTGGATATAGGTATGGAAGACCTTGTTGAACATCGCTGAGCGTTGTGAATTACGTAATCCTGCAGAGGGGGCGTGCCCGCTGCGAGATCGACGGGAATAAAAGCGCAGAGGACCGGGCGAAACATGCGACGGTCTTGCCGGAAAGGTCATCTGATGATTGTTGCGTTAACAATAATTTGCGGCGTTGGACGTGATGCTTGTTAATGAAAAGAGCCCCTGAAAGACGTCGGTAAAATCGTTCCCAATTATGGGTACGCCGTTCCCATAATAAGGAACGCTTGCAGCGCCAGTGTACGAGAGCGTTCCCAAATTTGGGCTCGCGGCCCGGATGATGGACTGCTTTAGAAATAGGGGAACGATTTGAAACTACGATGGGCCTTACAATATCAAACTCTTTCCCAACAATATTGCGACAAATATCAGGCGGTTCACGATCGTTTTCTATTTTTTGGACGTCATTTAACGGTTTTTTTTTCTTGTTTTAAATAATGCCTACATGGCGTTCCCATATTTGGGTTTATCGTTCCCAAACATGGGAACGAAAATGCGTTCCCGAAAATGGGTACGCTTGACCATACTTCCGCCTACTGAGGAGGGAATATATTACGGTGATTTGGAGCACAGGTGTGACGAATCAGAACACAGTAGCTTGTGTGTTTGTTGGGGTCTGCATATGATGTATAATCAGGAAGTCGCGATGTATTTTTGCACCGATTATAACATATAGTCTAATAAGTTATGCTACGCCACGCAAATATAACATGTATAATAAAATACAATAAACAACATAAAATGCAACCGCAGTGTTTGGGATGGGAAAGTATCGATTCATTTCGAGCATCTATTCGTCTCCATCGCTCTAATTGTCACTCTCCCTCCCTTCCTCTCTGACCCTCCCCTCCCTCCCTCCCTCTCCCCCTGCCTCTCACCCCTCTCCCTGTCGGCCTCCAGACGATCGCCAATCTCGCCATGTCTCTGTCGGACGGCGGTGAGCGTCTGTTCGGCAGCTGCCCGCGCCTCGGCGGCCTCCGAGAGCCGCTGCTGCAGCTGCAGCTGCTGCTCCTGCTGTCTGGCCAGCTGCAGCTGCCGCTCGTACAGCTGCACGCCGCACGACTCGCCGTGTTTGGTGCGGGACCGCTGGTCCTTCCGCTGTGAGGGGGGAGTTGTTTTGGGGTGAGGATTGGCCGTGTCCACTCGCCAGTATCGGGGCTGTACGGAACAGAAATCTCCCCCACCCCTCCACACACACGCACACCCCAGCACGACACGGAAAACACAGGCCACCAGCACGGCGCGGGCTGATAAGTTTGCAAGTTTCAAAAATGGCAACCGTCCAAAGTTGAAAAAGTGGCAAAGTCACCCCCGTTTACGGTATGGATATTAATGGATGGGTCACAACTCTTCCAATCGCGCGACAAAAACCATCCATCGGCAGCTATCGCCGATAGCTAATCAGAGGAGCCCCCCCCCCCCCCCCCCCCCTCCCGGTCGGACCCCCCCCCCCCGGCAGCAGCAGTCTCTCCGTCACCAGTTGGATATTTCTGTCACCTACCTGTAGATCCGTGGTCACCACCGGGTTAGCCATCAGCTGGTCGTAGTAACAAATGGAACAGGACAGTTATACTACGGTCATAGGTCTGGGACAGGAGGACAGGTCACATACCGGTCACAGTACCGTCAGACCAGGGTAGGTGGGAATGGAGAACAAGGAAACATGCAGGTACTTCTCATCCAACACAATGGGCTCTCACTGTTTACTGAATTAAGTCAGCACATCTCAAACGACCAGTTGAACATAGGAATGGATGGTTCTCCGCCATACCCACACCAGATGCCAGTCAAATCTGGAAAAGGTCGACACCCACCTTTCACAACCCTTCAACTCCTCAACCTCGGGCCATTTGTTCACTCACGGCGCGTATCCATGGAGCGCCGAGGCGGCGGCGGCGGCGGTCGGTGGGGTCGGATGACGCACGAACGGCGCGGCGGCAGCGGCCGGCACCGAGGACACTGGGGGCGTTGTGAAGTGGCGACATTTTAGGACCGTGCAGAGGTTCACTTGTGACGTCTTAGGTCAGTGACCCGACCTGACCTGAAAATGAAGTTTGAGTCAAACGATCCGGCTTGAATCAAATGTTTGGCGTGCTGAACTTCAGCTTTCTATCGCCGGTGCGTCCCGTGAAGTCCTGAAAACCGTCAGGGTGGCACCCCTCCCCTCCCTCCCTGCTGACGAGGGTTAACAGTAACCAGTAAAACGCCTTTTGGGCGAAGAACGAGCGAGCGAGATAGTGAGCCCTGCACGTGCGGAAGGGCGAGAGGGTGCTTCCAACGGGCTTGTGCAAAGCACCCTTCTAACCGGTCGCTAGCGGTGTGCCAAGTTTGAACGCAATCGGCCCAGCCGTTCCTGAGATCTGGAAGCGGCATTCTGCAAGTGCGCACGTGCAAACGGGGTCCAAAATGACTTTTGCACGGCACCCTACTAACTGGTCCCCAACCGTGTACCAAATTTGAGCGCAATCGGCCCAGCCGTTCTCGAGATCTGGAAACGCCCCCTGCACGTGCGCACGTGCAGTAGCACCCTAACCGCAACACATGGGAATGCATTGCCTGGTGGGTGCCTACCTGTATGCCAAGTTTCAGCGAAATCGCCCCAGTAATTACCGAGTTACTGAAATGGGAACAAATTTGGCACATCTTATTGTTGTATTTTGCACGTGCACTGGGAGTGACCCACATACATCGAGAGTATCCTGTTTTGGGTAGAAGGGATGCTGCTACCCTACAAAAATTACCGCAAGTCAATCGCCCAAGCGGCTGCTGAGATATGAACCTCTCAAAATCACTACTTTTGCAAAACAGCTTGAACACCCTTGACTTTTCACGTGGCACGTGCCACGACGGTCACTGAGATGTATCAAAAGTAGTCAATTACGGGGTAGAAGGGATGGGGCTACCCAACAAAAAAGACCGCAGGCCAATCGGTCCAGCGGTTGCTGAGATATAAGCCTCTCAAAAGCGTTACAGGCCGGGCCGGGCCGGGCCGGGCCGCTCATACTGAGATTTTTCCGTTATATTGAAAAGACTCACTTCGCTCGCTGCGCTCGCTCGCTCGTAATAAACAGACAGTGCGGTGAAGCCTCAACGGCGCTAGTGCAGCACTCGGACCATTGACATACAAATAACCGAGGAAGAGTTACCCGGGCTCTGGGACGCTTCAACCCGACAGTATAGAAACAATCCACAACAGAGCGGGCCGGTTGACCACACACAATGGCAATAAGCAATGACGAGCTCTCCGAATGTCGTCAGCCTCCGGGACAATGTACCAACCATAGTACAACGGACAAGCTGTTGCATCAGATTAGTACTTTTATTTAATTCAGCATTAATAACCCTTCTATGATTAATTGTAGGTAATGGGCTGCTCCATGCACCACAAAAGAAGACTGTTCGAAACATGACTTTCAAATGGAAAATAAAAAGTCAGTACACCAAAATCAATCACGTTCTATATGACAGATGACTCCCCCCCCCCCTCCCCACTATATGGTACGTACCCTCTTGTACCCTAAAATAATGCCGACATATTTTATGAACCGGGACCCGGGATCGAAACTGATCAATCCAACCCTGAATATACCCCCTCTCTGCCTCTGACCGTTGGTCCGCCGACACCGGGCGCGGTGCTCCAGGCTGGACCGTTGATCGGGAAACTCGGTCCGGCACCGTCTGCACCAGCCCCTGTCCTTGTGCACCGTGTGCACGTGCACGATCTGCTCCTGGAGTGCTCCCAGCTGCTGGCCACAGCGCTGGCACGCGTGGCGCCGCTCTGAGGGGACGGCAATACACGGGTCAGGCGGTGGGGGATGTGAATTAAGGGAGGGTCCAAACGGGGCGCTTTGTGGGGAGGTAATCACTGATCGTTAGGTGACTGATAATAGTTGAATTCCAAAGACTTCGTCCCCTGAATCAAAAGGTAGGATATCGGGCGGCCATTTGAGGCGGAACAATGTCAAACGTCGGATATGTACGTACAAATATTTTAAGTATACTACCGGATATAAGTTGTCCTGCAATGTGTTACACATTATGCAGTAGGATTACGGTATGCATGAAATACCAGCAATACGTCTAGCAGACTACCCACGATAAACGACACAAATACGCCCCACACCTGATGCACTACCGACACACAACACAACTGAGTGACAGTAGACACCGACCGTTGCGGGCGTCGGCCGGTCCGTCCTCCATCGGCGTCGTTGGACGGCCTCGGCCGGTCACAGCCAGTCGGTGCCGATCCCCTCCAGGTGCTCCAGCACCGAGCGGCCGTACTGGAGACGGAATCGGGCCGTCTGGACGTGCTGCACCCGCTCCGGCAGTGTGTCGACGTGGCGGTACTCGATGACGGTCGGAGACGCGTCGCTGGAGACGTCTGTTGTCGGGGACGTCCGTCGAGTCTGACGGCGCCGCCTGCGGACCAGGGGGGGGGGGGGGGGCACATGAAATCGTGACATCCCAACCGTGACACACGGAAATGCACTGCCCGGCGGGTGTCCAAGTGCATTCCAAGTTTCAGCGCCATCGGCACAGTAACAACCGAATTACTGCAGAGGCCACTGCAAATGTTTATCGCTGAATCAGTCGGTCACGGGACCGGGCCGCCTGACCGGATGTGACGCCTCTGGCAGAGGCCAGCCGCACCGAGCTCTGCAGACGTTCTGTCGGCACAAGCTTTTCCGCAGAACAGACGAGACTACAGTCACCTACTCCCTCTCAATAAATCCTCAACTTGATTTCTCGGCCCCATAAGCCGCTCCAATCCAGAGTGGTCATTGTGTATCCACCGGGGCCTGAACAGCTGTCCAGTGTCCACCCCGCCCCCTCCTGACGTACGTACCGATCGTCTCGAGTTGGTCGAGTTGGTCGAGTTGGTCGGCGTACGATGACAGGCGAGCAATCAGGTCATCCTGTCAGAGGAAAAGGGTTACGTCATCTCTCTCTCTCTCTCTCTCTCCCTCTCTCTCCCTCGTTTGTCCGTCCGGATTTGGAAATGAATGATTTGTATTATTATGATCTTGTATAATGTCACGTCTATGTCGTCTAGGTCGATGGAGCAAATTATCTTCTCCTGACTCTGATGATAACGACACCTCAACGAGTGTCGTAAATGGGAATTGACGACACTGACTTAGTTCTGTAAACGGCAGTCAAATGCAACGTGGTTTTGACATATTTCGGTCCACCGTATAATATCTCCTGTATATATCCTTCATCCTTTATATGCAAGAAAAAAACATCTACTTCGAGTACACCCTTGTAAACAACAGAATCATGATAGGAGCTACCAATTGACGTCAAAGGAAGTTTCTGCAGTTCATGAGGATTGCACCAGACTCCGGCTGGGGCCGGGACAGTGCAGATAGAGCGTCCGGCCGCTGCCGTCGGGGCCGCCAAGGTGACCCCTGGCCGTCTGAACCAACAAACGCCGTTCCTGCGGCCCGATGCTGCGAGACGTCAGCACAAGTTTGAAATCAAAGTAAGCACGGTCACAACTGTGTTTGCTTGATTTGGTGGGCAGGCCCGTTCAATCCCAGATCATTCAGGGGAGAGGGGACGGGGAGACATTGGGCTGGCGGACCACCGACGGTGCGTCGCAGTGGCGGGGACCACCCGGTGGGACGCCAGTGTCCCGGTGGGACAGACTACCCACCCACTCAAACGGCCAGTCCGGGGGGCCGTATACCCCTAGTGGAGTACCCGAAACGGCCGGACATCGAGTGGCGTGGCCGTGCCCACAAGAGGTGTGACTTGTGAACAAGAAAGATGGATAGGTGCTGACGATAGGGAGGGTGGGTATGAAGCAGATAACGCTGCTGGAGTCTTTTCCAAATTTTATAACCCATCTGATCTGTTTCCCAGGATCAACATGCCCTCTTCCTTTGATCATTCTCAACGCATGAGATCACATTATGATGGAGCCCAACTGCAGTGACTTGCATAAAAATATTAAAAAATAATTCGAGATTAACCTTATAGGGGGGTCGAACGGACCACTCCCAATCGGTTTTTTCGCGAATAACTCGCGTAAAAAGCAGCAGATCGCGACGAAACTTTCGGTTACCTCGAGTTGATCAATTTTAAGCCTACCCTGACATATTCATGCCCCTGACCCCAATGACCTTTGACCTGAAGTTTGTACTTTCGGATTGTAAAATTTACTTTATGAAACATATTTGTACAATCGAAAGTACAAACCTACAAACTACAACTACAATTCTACAATTCCAGGCTTTATGAAAAAGGACACAGTTGTTGAGTTCATATGAAATGACCCATATAGAGAAGTCTTCTCTATAAATAGAAAAGTCTGTGTCACACCAGATACAAGTCAAAGCTGGGAGAGGTCGACACCCACCTTTCACAACCCTTCAACTCCTCAACCTCCGGCCATTTGTTCACTCACGGCGCGTATCCATGGAGCGCCGAGGCGGCGGCGGCGGCGGTCGGTGGGGTCGGATGACGCACGAACGGCGCGGCGGCAGCGGCCGGCACCGAGGACAATGAGGGCGTTGTGAAGTGGCGACATTTTAGGACCGTGCAGAGGTTCACTTGTGACGTCTTAGGTCAGTGACCCGACCTGACCTGAAAATGAAGTTTGTGTCAAACGATCCGGCTTGAATCAAATGTTAGGCGTGCTAAATTTCAGCTCTCTATCGCCGGTGCGTTCCGTGAAGTCCTGAAAAAACCGTCAGGGGAGTGCCCCCCCTCCCTCTCCCTCCCTGCTGACGAGGGTAACAGTAATAAACAGACAGTGCGGTGAGGCCTCAACGGCGCTCTGCAGCACTTTGACCATTGACTTACAAATAACCGAAGAAGGGTTACCCGGGCTCTGGGACGCCCACACCCGACAGAACAGAAACAATCCACAGCAGAGCGGGCCGGTTGACCACACCTAATAGTAATGGCAATAAGCAGTGACGAGCTCTCCGAATGTCGTCAGCCTCCGGGACAATGTACCAACCATAGCACAACGGACAAGTTGCATCAGATTAGTACTTTTATCTAAGCATTAAAAACCATCTATGATTAATTATAATGGGCTACTCCATGCACCACAAAAGAAGGCTGTTGAAAACATGACCTTGAAAATTGAAATAGAAAATTAGTTAGTACACCAGATTCAATCACTTTCTATGACACATGATCCCCCCCCCAAACAAAATGGTAGGTACGTACCCTTATGTACCCTAAAATAATACCGACATACTTTATGAACCGGGACCCGGGATCGAAACTGACCAATCCAACCCCGAATATACCCCTATCTGCCTCTGACCGTTGGTCCGCCGACACCGGGCGCGGTGCTCCAGGCTGGACCGTTGCACAGTGTGGCCAAACACCAGTTTAGCGCGAATTAAATCCCAGCGCTGCTCGGATCCGTTGAAAATGGTTCCCTGGTTTCAAAATTGACACTTAAACCTATGTGAGACCTTTTGCGATGCATTATAAATGCTTGCTGACATATAATGGCATAGTTCCGCCTCTAAAAGTAAGGAGAACTAGCTTACGACGGGTGATGTGCTTACCAGGCCAGGGCTGTGAAGTCGATGGAGTTACTCCGACTCCGAATACGGCTTTCAAAAGTCAATTTCAACTCTGACTCCGGGCAAAACTGTCGACTTATACGATCGACTCGGACTCTGACTCCGCAGCCATGGCAAGTCCACGCAGTCGATGGATTTTCGGTGACTCAGACTACGAGTCTTGGTCCGGATTCCAAAATCGATTCCGATTCCGACTCTGACTGGGGTCAGAACTGTTGACTCCGAACGACTCTGACTCTGATTACGAAATCCTGGAATTTAACCGCAAATAAGAGGCATAAAATTGTGGGTCCCAGCAATGATGGGCTTGTTAGGAGGAGGAATCGTTTACGAAATTCCCATCATTTCTCTGGTAAATTCTTATGATTGTCCAAAGTTTGCTTGAAAAAATCAACATCTAATTATGTTTCTGTGTGAATGTTCCTGGTGAAGCACATGGATCGGTAGATGGTTGCTGAAATACACGCACCGATAGGACTGAACCTCAGCAATGGGAGTAAAAACAAAGACTTACACCATAAGCACCTTCATGTCATTAACCCTCGCCCGTATTGGTGTTTTGCTAGCCGCGAACGTAGGTCGGGTCAGGTCAGGTCAGGCCAACCAGTCCTGCCGGGTATTCATAATTAATAGGTGTCAACCGTCAGTGACAGCTTCATTGCATGTTACGAAGGCACCAAAACTTCTTCCTAAATGTTCAAATGGTTACTAAATTCGAAATCAGCTCCAAAAACTAGCCTGGCTGGAAGCATGTAAAACTAAAAAAGGTGAACCGAGGTCATCAAAGGTCATTGAACTGACCTGACCTTCAAGTGATCTTGACACCGACCATAATGCATGGAACCAACATCATAATATCACATGTTTAGACGCTTGAATTCACGAAAAGACTGCAAACGCGCGGCTAATGCAAGCAAACATACGCCCAATCGCGATTCCGGCCAAACATGGTCTCGAGAAATAGGTCACAGGTCAAAGGTCATTGGGGTCAGGGTCGTGAAATTTAAAGGGTAGGTGTAAAATTGATAAATTCGAGAGTACTGAAAGTTTCGTCGCGATCGGCCGCTTTTACATGAGCTTTTTGCGAAAAACCGAGAGGTGACCTTTCGACCCCCACCCTCACCCCCTATATGGGCGAGGGTTAAAAAATTGTCAAGATTTATTCATTGGCGACCGTATTCTGCAACATAACAAGTCAGAAATACAGCGGTTGAGCCATCCGCGTAACGTTACGGAGCCGCCGCCGCGCCCACCCTGTAGCCGGACCTCCCCGGGCGGGTCAACCCGATACGTTCAAAGCTGAGCCAAAGGCCGGGGGGCAGGTTGGGGCAGGGTTTCTTGAATGGATCATGTCCAGAAAAGTGTGGCGAATCTTCTCATGGTAGAATTGGCGTGGAGTTTTTTGGCCATTTTCTTATATCTCTACGTTTTTAAGATGGACGGTGTTTTCAAGGGATGTCTGAAAAGGTCATTTTCAAATGAGCATAACTCATCGGTTAGTCCAAGGATACCTATAGAATTCGGGTATACTATCAAATATAGGCTCAGTAGTCATATGCCACTCCAATTATTTCCAAACCTTTCCGACAATTACGCAAAAATGTGTTGTAAACATGACGCGGGTTTTCGACGACTTCAGCACAGCCGGGACCGGTATTGCGTATGTCCACTTTAGCTAGCTTTTTGGACACCGAAAGGAAGACATTGAACCAAAATATTGTGATATTGACATACTTTGGACAATTTCCTATCGACTGATAGTTATAAAAAGTCAAAATTCCAAAATTCGTTTTTTGATTAAATTCGCGCTAATCTGGCGTTTGGCCACACTGTGCGTTGATCGGGAAACTCGGTCCGGCACCGTCTGCACCAGACCCTGTCCTTGTGCACCGTGTGCACGTGCACGATCTGCTCCTGGAGTGCTCCCAGCTGCTGGCCACAGCGCTGGCACGCGTGGCGCCGCTCTGAGGGGACGGTAATACACGGGTCAGGCGGTGGGTGATGGGAATTAGCCGGGAGGGTCCAAACGGGGCACTTTGTGGGGAGGTAATCACTGATCGTTAGGTGACTGATAATAATTGAATTCCAAAGACTCCGTCCCCTAAATCAAAAGGCAGGATATCGGGCGGTAATCTAAGACGGGAAAATGTCACAAGTAGTCTAACCCTCGCCGGACCTATTGGTTTTCTACATACGCGCCGGCCGAGGGGGGGGGGGGCGGGTACGACCCCCCCCCCTCGCCGTTTCGCCCCTGGTGGAGCTAGCGCGTCGCGGAAAAAACGAGCGTGTGCGCCGTTACGAGACGCAGAGATTGGTACCCGATTTTAAGGTCCTAGGTCAACCGGTGACCTCTGAGGTCAGGTCAAGTGCCCCAAGGTACGGTTCAGTTTTTGGTGAATAACTTCGCAAAAAACGGCCGCAGAGCGCCGATTTTGGCAGCATCGTGTTCGTCTCGCTCAGGCGCGTCGAATGATATACTTTTTGTCCGGGTCAGGTCAACTTGGGGTGTTGACCTCAGGTCAAGGTCAGGTCAGCACCCCCAGGTCACGAAGTTGGTCGAAAAAGGTCATGTCGCATATCATTTGATTCGGCAGGTCTTCCTGAGTCCATTGGTGGCTTTCCCGACTCGCTAGCTCAATTTGATCAAAAGTTATTGACGAAAAACTAATATGACCTTGATGACGTCATAAATGACGTCACGCAAGGTCAACATTGCAAAAGTGACGCATCTAACCTTGCAAGGAGTGCATCAAATCACGATTCTGTGTGCTTGAGATAGTTGGAGATCGTTCCCGGCGCCAGAATAGCAGTTTGAATTTTTCCCCATTGACTTATAATAGTGAGGTCACGAAAATGACCTGACCTCATATGACCTTTAGGAAAAATCCGAGATATACAAGTTGTGGGACTCATAATGGATACTAGATCCTGCAAGTTTCATTTCCCTGTGACATCTCCTCTGGCAGTGAGGGCGTTGCGAAGTTGCGACATCTGAAGACCGTGCAGAGGTTCACTTATGACGTCATAGGTCAGTGACCTGACCTACCCAAAAATGCGGTTGGTATCAAAAGATCCGGCTTGGATCAAAGGTCAGGTATGCCAAGTTTCAGCTCTCTATCGCCAGCGTGTTTGGAGCTATCGCGAAAAACCCTATGGGGGGGGGGGCGGCACCCGCCCCCCCCCTCGGCCGGCGAGGGCTAATATATAGGTAGCAGGTACAAATGTTTAACAAACTACCGCAGATAAGTTGCCTTCCAATGTGTTACACATTATGCAGTAGGATCAATAACTACAGTATGCATTAAACACCAGCAATACGTCTACCCGACTACCCACAACAAACGACACGAATGCACCCCACACCTGATGCACTACCGACACACAACACAACTGAGTGACAGTAGACACCGACCGTTGCGGGCGTCGGCCGGTCCATCCTCCATCGGCGTCGTTGGACGGCCTCGGCCGGTCACAGCCAGTCGGTGCCGATCCCCTCCAGGTGCTCCAGCACCGAGCGGCCGTACTGGAGACGGAATCGGGCCGTCTGGACGTGCTGCACCTGCTCCGGCAGTGTGTTGACGTCGCCGTACTCGATGACGGTCGGAAACGCGTCGCTGGAGACGTCTGTTGTCGGGGACGTCCGTCGAGTCTGACGGCGCCGCCTGTGGACCGGGGGGGGTGTCCGAGTGTAGGTAGGTGAAAGGGGTACAGTCGGTGGGCCGTGTAGGAGTATGGTGTGTACTGTGTAGTACAGTTCAGAACCACCTATCCAGACTCATTCGTGAAAGGTAGGCATGGTTTATCATTCGTGCAGCCACATCCTTCGTGAAAGGTGAACCTTATTACTTGAGTAGCCCGGCGTAGCCTTATCATCAGTGAAATGTACTTGCAACAAAAGTACGACACGTTTTTACAGAACACTTCAGTTACATAAATCTCTCGCTACCTTAGTTACTCACGAGAGTTCTGTTCACCCCCTCCCCTCACTCCGCCCCACCGCTCCCTACACCTTGTCCCACCCACCCTGTATATTGTCCACCCGTCCCCCCACCCTGTACCCCCCCCCCCCCGTCACCTGGTGCCCTGTCCGGCTCTCTCCGCGCACTCTGCCGCCGCTCCGCCGCTCTCCCCGCCGTCCTCTCCATGCGAGGCGAGGGGTATGACCGGGCCGCGTCACCGGATGTGGCGCCTCTGGCAGAGGGCAGCCGTACCGAGCTCTGCAGAAGTTCTGGAGAGAGAGAGAGAGAGAGAGAGAGAGAGAGAGAGAGAGAGAGAGAGAGAGAGAGAGAGAGAGAGAGAGAGAGAAAGAGAGAGAGAGAGAAAGAGAGAGAGAGAGAGAGAGAGAGAGAGAGAGAGAGAGAGAGAGAGAGAGAGAGAGAGAGAGAGAGAGAGACCCATCACCGTCAGCTAGTGGGTGACAAATCAGCAGGTGCTCCAATTAAAATCGACAGGTGAATGTCACAACGACTCGTCATTGATGGACAGGCCGGGGTAATGTTTTGAATTAAAAAAGAATGCAATCGTCGAACCCCAGGTGTGTAACAGCACGATAACGACCAAAACGACGCAAAGCATTTTATCTAAATGAGTTATATTCCTCACGCCTCACAATTAGCAGCAAAATCGGCACAACCTCTTCCTCAGAACAGACGAGACTACAGTCACCTACTCGCTCTCCATAAATCCTAAACTTGATTTCTCAGCCCCACCCCTTTTTCATAAGCCGCTCCAATCCAGAGTGGTCATTGTTTATCCACCGGGGCCTGAGCAGCTGTCCACCCCGCCCCCTCCTGACGTACCGATCGTCTCGAGTTGGAGCTGCACCTCTGCCAGCACCTGTCCGGCTGCAGGGTTCTGTAAACGGCACTTAATTGCAACGTGGTTTTGACATATTTCGGGCCACCGTACAATTGACGCTCGCAAGAAAATATCTCCTTCGACATTTGTAAGCAACAGAATCACGACAGTAGCTACCAAATGACGTCAAAAGGAAGGTTATGCAGTTCATGAGGATTGCACCAGACTCCGGCTGGGACCGGCACAGTGCAGATAGAGCGTCCGGCCGCTGCCGCCGGGGCCGCCAAGGTGACCCTGTCCGCCTGAACCAACAAACGCCGTTCCTGCGGCCCGATGCTGCGAGACGTCAGCACAGGTTTGATATCAGAGTAAGCACAGCCACAACTTAGTTTGCTTGATTTGGTGGGCAGGCCCGTTCGGTTCCAGATCATTCAGGGGAGAGGGGATGGGGAGACATTGGGCTGGCGGACCACCGACGGTGCGTCGCAGTGGCGGGGACCACCAGTGTCCCGGTGGGACAGACCACCCACCCACTCAAAGGGACAGTCCGGGGGGCCGTATACCCCCTAGTGGAGTACCCGAAACGGCCGGACATCGAGTGGCGGGGCCGTGCACACAAACAGTGTGAGTTGTGAACAAGACAGATGGACAGGTGCTGACGATAGTGAGGGTGGGTATGAAGCAGAGATAACGCCGTTGGAGTCTTTTCCATATTTTATAACCCATCCGATCTGTTCCTCAGGATCAACATGCCCTCTTCCTTTGATCATTCTCCACGCATGAGATCACATTATGATGGAACCCAACTGCAGTGACTTGCATAAAAAGATAAAAAAAAATAATTCGATATTAACCTTATAGGGGGTTGAACGGACCACTCCCAATCGTTTTTTTTTTTCGCGAATAACTCGCGTAAAAAGCAGCGGATCGCGACGAAACTTTCGGTTACCTCGAGTTGATCAATTTTAAGCCTACCCTGACATATTAATGCCCCTGACCCCAATGACCTTTGACCTGTAGTTTGTACTTTCGGATTGTAAAATTTATTTTATGAAACATATTTGTACAATCGAAAGTACAAACCTACAAATTACAACTACAATTCTACAAGTCCAGGCTTTATGAAAAAGGACACAGTTGTTGAGTTCATATGAAATGACCCATATAGAGAAGTCTTCTCTATAAATAGAAAAGTCTGTGTCACACCAGATACAAGTCAAAGCTGGGAGAGGTCGACACCCACCTCTCACAACCCTTCAACTCATCAACCTCCGGCCATTTGTTCACTCACAACTCATCAACCTCCGGCCATTTGTTCACTCACGGCACGTATCCATGGAGCGCCGAGGCGGCGGCGGCGGCGGTCGGTGGGGTCGGATGACGCACGAACGGCGCGGCGGCAGCGGCCGGCACCGAGGACACTGAGGGCGTTGTGAAGTGGCGACATTTTAGGACCGTGCAGAGGTTCACTTGTGACGTCTTAGGTCAGTGACCCGACCCGACCTGAAAATGAAGTTTGAGTCAAACGATCCGGCTTGAATCAAATGTTAGGCTTTATCAGCTAGCTAAATTTCCGCTCTCTATCGCCGGTGCGTCCCATAGAGTCCCGAAAAATTCTGGGAGCGCCCCCCCCCCCTACCCATCCTACCGACGAGGGTTAACAGTAATAAACAGACAGTGCGGTGAAACCTCAACGGCGCTCTGCAGCACTCGGACCATAGACTTACAAATAACCGAGGAAGAGTTACCCGGGCTCTGGGACGCTCCCACCCGACAGTACAGAAATAATCCACAGCAGAGCGGACCGATGGACCACACCCAATGGCAATAAGCACTGGCGAGCTCTCCGAATGTCGTCGGTCTCAGACGAGGGACAAATACACTAACCACAGAATATTAGGGACAAGTTGCATCAGCTCAGTGGCTTTGATTGAATATTGATAACCAAGCTATGGTAAATAAAAATGTGATTCTCCAGCACCACAAAGAAAAGTCAGGACGTCCTCAGGGCTCAGAGCTCGGTGCGGCTGGCCTCTGTTAGAGGCGCCACATCCGGTCAGGCGGCCCGATCCCGTGACCGACTGACTCAGCGATAAACTTTTGCAGTGGTCCCCGACTGCTCTGTTGCAATGCTGCCCCACCCCGTCGTCTCATCCATCTGCCCCGTAGATTTATACATACACCATAGAATCTGGAGAGCCTTTTCGAGGTGAGCGGATCTTGTATGAGGGGTGTGTAAAAATTTGCAGTATTTAAAAATCTGCAACATGAAAACGGTGTTATTTAGCTCCTAATATAATAATTGAGACTAGTTTTTCCAGATGGCAGCTACGCCGAGAAATCTTCCAGCTGTCAGTATTCGATTATTCCTTATATTGCGACTGCTGGGGTGCAGCACCCACCAGCTGTACCCCAGGGGTGCTCAGCACCCACCAGTTGTACCCCAGGGGTGCAGCACCCACCTGCCAGCGACACGCTGTCCAGTTTTCCGTCCCCGTCCACCAGCGGCTCTGAACGCCCCCAGTCGGAGTCGTGTGTTCCTCGGAAGGGCATCTTTAGGTTCTTGACGTCCTTACCGCACAAGTTACACGTCCCTGTCCCGGGGGAGGGGGGGGGGGGGGTCAGATGGCAGCTGTGAGAAGTGGCTGTAGACCAGATGGTGAAAAAAGTGAACAAAGGTCATCAAAGCTCAGTGACCTTGACCTGACTCACGTGACCTTGACACCCACAAAAATGCATGGGACCAACATCATTTCACATGTTTGACCGCTTACAATCACAAAAAGACGAAATGCGTGGGTAATGTGAGCCGACATACGCCAAATCGCGATTCTGGCCAGACATGGTCTCGAGAATCAGGTCACAGGTCAAAGATCATTTGGGTCAGAGTCATGAAATTTTCAGAGTATGTGTAAAATTGATCAACTCGAATGTACTGAAAGTTTCGTCGCAATCAGCTGCTTTTTGCGCAAGCTTGCGAAAAACCGAGGGGGGTCCGTTCGACCCCTCCCCCCTTAGTGCGATGGTTAAATCCGTGCAATACTTCTACCCGACTACCTACAATAAACGACACGAATACGCCCCACACCTGATGCACTACCGACACACAACACAACTGAGTGACAGTAGACACCGACCGTTGCGGGCGTCGGCCGGTCCATCCTCCATCGGCGTCGCTGGACGGCCTCGGCCGGTCACAGCCAGTCGGTGCCGATCCCCTCCAGGTGCTCCAGCACCGATCGGTTGTACTGGAGACGGAATCGGGCCGTCTGGACGTGCTGCACCTGCTCCGGCAGTGTGTCGACGTGGCGGTACTCGATGACGGTCGGAGACGCGTCGCTGGAGACGTCTGTTGTCGGGGGTGTCCGTCGAGTCTGACGGCGCCGACTCGGCGCGGACCGTGGGGGGGGGGGGGCACATGAAACCGTGACATCCGAACCGTGACACATGGAAATGTATTGCCCGGCGGGTGTCCAAGTGCATTCCAATTTTCAGCGCCATCGGCCCAATAACAACCGAATTACTGCAGAGGCCACTGCAAATGTTTATCGCTGAGTCTGTCGGTCACGGGACCGGGCCGCCTGACCGGATGTGGCGCCTCTGGCAGAGGTCAGCCGCACCGAGCTCTGCAGACGTCCTGAGGGAGGGAGGAAGGGGAATAGATAGAGAGACAGAGGGAGGGGAGGGAGGGAGGGAGGGAGGGAGGGAGGGAAGGAGGGAGGGAGGAAGGGGACCGGGGGGGGGGGGGTGTCCGAGTGTAGGTAGGTGAAAGGGGTACAGTCGGTGGGTGGTGTAGGAGTATGGTGTGTACTGCATAGTACAGTAATCAGAACCACCTATCCAGACTCATTCGTGAAAGGTAGGTATGGTTTATCATTCGTGCAGCCACATCCTTCGTGAAAGGTGAACCTAATTATTTTTATTTGAGTAGCCTTATCATCAGTGAAATGTACTCGCAACAAAAGTATGACAGGTTTTTACAGAATACTATAGTTACATAAATATCTCACAACATTACTCACGAGAGCTCTGTTCACCCCCCCCCCCCCCCCCACCGCTCCCTACACCCTGTCCCACCCACCCTTATAATGTCCACCCCTCCCCTCCCCCCCACCCTGTACCCCCCCTCCCTCAGCTTGTGCCCTGTGCGGCTCTCTCCGCGCACTCTGCCGCCGCTCCGACGCTCTGCCCGCCGTCCTCTCCGTGCGAGCGGTGTTTGGTGCGGCCATGTGCTGCGTCACGTCTACTGGGACCTGTCAGTGTCATCACCTTGTGTAAGCTCCTCGAGCATTGAGGGCGCTGCAACTGCGACATTTTAGGACCGTGCAGAGGTTCACTTGTGACGTCCTAGGTCAATGACCTGACCTGAAAATGCAGTTTATGTCGAACGATCCGGCTTGTTTCAAATGTTAGGTGTGCTAAATTTCAGCTCTCAATCGCCGGTACGTCTCGTTAAGTCCTGAAAAACCGTCAGGGAAGCGCCCCTCCCCTCCCTCCCCGGCTGGAAGGGGGAGGGTAAACAGACAGTGCGGTGAGGCCTCAAATTTTCAGGGTAGGCGTAAAATTGATAATCGCGACTGCGAGGGTAAGAAAGTTTCGTCGCGATCGGCCGCTTTTTACCCTCGAGTTATTTGCGAAAAACCGAGAAGGGTCCGTCCCCCCCCCCCATACGGGCGTGGGTTAAAGCATGGCTCGGATTACCTGTTTTTTTTTTATCATGGTCTCAGGGCTGTGACGAAAAACAAGTGGCCTAATTCCGGAGAGAAAACAGGATTTGGGGGTACCCGAGGTTTGACTCCTTCAGTCTCTGCCCCCTCCCCCCAGTGAAAATTCCTCAGAAAAGGCCCTGTATTAAACGCAGCGTGATTGTGACATATCTAGACGTTCCACATTGACGCTCACAAGAAAAAAAGCGCACCTCGGAGACACCCTTTCAACAACAATATAATCAGAAGCTACAAAATGCCGTCAGTAGGAAGGTTCGCAGTTCATGAGGATTGTACCAGACTCTATAATATTGATTGAGACTCTATAATAACTGAGACTAGTTTTTTCCAGATGGCAGCTACGCCGAGAAATCTTCCAGCTGTCAGTATTCGATTATTCCTTATATTGCGACTGCTGGGGTGCAGCACCCACCAGCTGTACCCCAGGGTGCATCACCCACCAGTTGTACCCCAGGGGTGCAGCACCCCCACCTGCCAGCGACACGCTGTCCAGTTTTCCGTCCCCGTCCACCAGCGGCTCTGAACGCCCCCAGTCGGAGTCGTGTGTTCCTCGGAAGGGCACTTTAGGTTCTTGACGTCCTTACCGCACAAGTTACACGTCCCCTGTCCCGGGGGAGGGGGGGGGGGGGTCCAGATGGCAGCTGTGAGAGTGGCGTGTAGACCAGATGGTGAAAAAGTGAACCAAGGTCATCAAAGCTC